TTTAACAATTTATAACAATTTGAGTATCATTAAATATTGTGTATTCACAACATAACATGTATTACTATATAAATAAGTCATCTTTTTACGTGGTAGAGCTACGCTGCAAATAATACATTATGGTTGTAGTACAAATGGGTCGACGCGACCGGGGAAGAACCACGCTTGCACAACACCAACGTAAAATAGTAGCATTATGCCTTTGTTTTAGGGTCTGCGCACGCAGACGGCAAGGTACATTTTCCTGTGACAATTCCGATATCACCGTCGCAACGGGCTAGATTCAACCTTGTTCCAATTAATTATCAATCACATTCCTTTAACAACATGATAACCCATACGTTTCACGTGATGCAGCAGCGTGCTGCGACATGCCGCAGCATTCCGGACAATGACGTGACCTGTAGCAGCATGCTGCGGTGTCACGTGAAACATTTCGGTTTATTTGTGTTGAAATAAAGGATTGCCAGTGCTAAGTTCGTTAAAATAGGGTCGAAGATCTTATGTCCACGAAAAAACTCATTTGACACGCCGTTTGTGAGCGCATTTGGCTCAGACGAAATTTATTTCGTCTGAGGCATTTGGGTGACAACGAATTCGAATTTTTATTTTTAATCGAATTTAATTGATATATCTCTATCATCTATATATAACCCATCAGGTTGGTAGTGTTTTGTTGGGTCACCAACAATTTTTAAAACACTCCTCCGGCTTATACTCATAAACAATAATTTATTCATGTAGCTTATACACATGAAAACACAAAAAAAATAGGAGATCAATCAAATGTGATGAAAAGTTCTCATCTATGAAAATAATTCTATTCAATTCGTTTAAGAAATAAACTGATGATAGCTAAATAAGTAGTTACAAAAAGTAAGTTAAGATTTTATAATGAAACAGATTTATGATCTTCAATCACCTACACATCGAATTACTAAGAAAAACCTTTGGTTATTATACCACACGTACACGCACACACACACACGTAGTTTTTACCAATTCGGTACTAAACATATAAATACACAAAATCACGACAGACACATATAAATAGATGCCTTAAAGATAAATTTAAATCTTCTACCGCGTCAAGAACCAAGTCTGCATTGGCTCAGCCTTGCCTTTCATGGAAACGTAGCCGCGGTAAGTCAGCTGAAATTGATCGTCATAATTGTCTTCTCCCGTCAAGTAACTGTAATATAAAAATAATCTCATTATAAGGCATTGAAGTAATATGTACTTACGTACTAGAACAGCTATTTCAAACAAAAAATGTGCGCTACTCTGTGTTCGCGCGGTTTGTTTTCTTATCATAGAATAAACATAGGTAGAATGATAAGTAGGTAATAAAAGATTGTACTGTTAAATAGGTAAATTATATCGAGATTTTTTTTTAAATTTTGTCATTTATTTTGTATATTATATTTCCTTATTTAATATAATGTTACATAATATTATATCACAATTACATTTTAATGATATTTTTATGTTAATATTTTAAAAGGTCTATCTTAAATATAAAAAACATACTAAATGTATGTTTAACAAAACTTGTTAATATAACATTTAAATTACATATTCTAATATATTTATTTAAATTAGAATAAGAGCTGTTCATAAATACTGGGCACGCGAGAGTTAAAAATTGACGAATTTATTCCACTTTGACTTTGATGTGGAAAACTAAAAATAAAATATAAGAATAATTAGCATATTTAAATGTAAAAAAATTTGGCCTAATTATGATAACTCATATGTTTCTAGAAAAAAAATGTGTATAATAATATATTTGTCCTATATTTAAGTACCCACAGAAATGTCGCATCTGAACAAATTAATTTCATAATCTATATTACGTGACACAAGATGGCGTCTTAAGAATAATTTGTTTTATTACTAATTTATAATACTTTTTTATTGATTAAGTATCTTATTAACCAATGAAAAGTAATTCCTTGGTTTTTACTGACATTTCTTGAATTATTTGTGCAATATCTAAGTACGCACGACGGCATATTTTTATCAAGAGATTTTTTTTAAATCAACACAACACGTGTCAACTCTACAAGCGCCTAGCGAGTGACTGATTAAAGTGCGGTGTATGGACCGCAGTTGAATGGAACATAGTAGCTGAAAGCAGTGTCGCCTCTAGTACGTAGTACATATTAGCTCAATGTTATAAGGATACATTTTATAATAAAAATAACCATTTTAGGTAACTACCTAAACCAGTACGAAATTACCTACTGGGTCATACTGGGTCATACTGGGTCGCATAAAATATTAAATCATATTTTTATTGTTATATTTTTCCTACAATGGAAGAATTCCATAACCAGGAGTGTACTATTACAGGCTGATGATGAAGAAGAAGAAGAAGAACTACATTTGTCATACCTATATATCATTTCGCGTAACATACCGAGTACCTGTTGTCCTCATAATTGCCGTAGGAGCTCGTTAAATTTCTGTGAGAGTTTTAGGTCCAAACTATTAGACTTTTATGAGACACTAAGTCCCTTATGGCCTTATAACAAAAAGTAGATTAAACCAAAATAACGAACTCATCGCAATGTATAGAATATGATTTAAAACTGTTAAGTGTGTTCTTTATAATGTCACTTATTGTATAAATAAATAAAATAAAAAAATGATAGAAAAATATTCGGGAAAATGTGGCGCCACGGCTTAGGGATTTCTTTATTTGGAAAGACTGTTCTCATACCATATTTAAATACTAAACTATCATATAACCATGTTTTGTAATAAGACAGAAATTAGACTTATTCCTTAAGCAAGGTTTAGACGAAGCCAGTGCTGGCCGCCAGTGAAACTGAACTGAATAGAGCGCCTGTCTATTTTTCAAACCAGTGACCTCCGACCGCGTGCCCCGCAACCCCCGCGCCTGAATAAATAATTTGTAATATAATAATTTAACTAGCGATATTGTACAAATTCATATATTTGATGTATGTAGGTATATGACAAACATAATTTTTCAGTTAGTCAAAAAATCATTAATTTAATACAACGATTTACAAGAATAATCTAGGAATTAAATTAATCAATTTGGCCTCATCTAAACAACACGGGTCAGGCCAGCACTGGCTTGTCTGAGGACTGGCGTCAGCATTGCTGGCTTTGTATAAACCTTGCTTAACGCTAAGATTGATATATCAACAAATATGACTACATAGCTTACGGTCTCTAAAGTTACAGTAAACAAAATTGTGTACATAATCAAGCTAATATGACACTAAATGACATAATCATGACGGCAATGAAATTAAGTAATCGTTTTCCATGCTTAAGGTGATGTGGACGCGAAAGGAGATTTTTCACGCTTTAAAGGTGCTACTGGCGGCTGTTTGGTCGGCCAGCGCGCTACTTATTAGATATTTCTTTTTAAACTCGCACAATATTTATTAGATATTTCTTTTTAAAATTATATATACTCTTTCATTGAAAAATAAACCCACAGTTCACTCACGTATCTACTGATGAACACATAACCTGAATTTAATTGAAACTGATTTCATTACATTCGAATGAAACAGCTTTTTCTCTTAGTGGATGGAAAATTTTAGATTTTGAGGAAACTTTGCGATCTTTTTCTATCAAGCCAAAATGTGTCAATCGTGTTTTGGCCAACATAATTCACTAAGAAAAATCTCTGAACTTTTATAATGAACTCAAAAGAAAACGTGGATTCGTAGTTTTTAATGACAAAAAATTGCTTTTCTGCGCACATATAAAGCGTGAAAAATCTGCTTTTGGTGCCCACATCACCTTAAAGTAGACTTTCTCTAAACGCCAATTTAAATTGCACTCGGTAACCAAACACTAGCGACATCCGTAGCCTTTTTGGTTTGATAATGGCTTCAGGATTCCATTGACTTCGGCAGTCACTTCATCAAAAATCATCCAAAAATTTTAAAATTAGGTTTTATTTCTGACTTCATATTCTGGAGATGGGAAGCAACATTATCAATGCAAAATTATCGAGTCCGCTTACCAATTTACCAGCCGTTATAAAAGCAGGAACTCTACCTCTTGTAGTATCTACCATATGGATAGATGTTAAACTACCCTTATGGTATTCTGATGTAATATCTACACTTACCGTAAGCTTATGGACTTTCTCGTCAGTATAATGGTCTAACCATGTGATTCTGGGTTCGAATCCCGGTTCGGGACAAATTACTTATTGAATTTCTAAGTAGCAGCCTGGAATCAGAAAGCTGACGGAATTTCAACTCCCGTGCCTAAAAAAGCACGTAAAGGGTGTCTTGTGGCTGACCTCTCTCCAGTCGTCTGAATACGTTAATAAATACTTGCGTCACACTTTAGCACTGAAACACTCTCCTGCGGAGATCAGTCTCCTATTAATCTAGCGCCACGAGCGAAAATATTTCTAGAAGACATTATTATTAATATGGTAAGCTTGGATACAAAGTAATACAAGAAAACCAATTTTTATTTAATGCTGGCTCCGGCGTGGGAATTCTGACCAGAGACTCAGCGACTCGGTAGTTATGAAACATAAAATCCAATCTTGTCGATCATCTCGTTTAATACCATATTTTTATCAAGATACGAGCTGCATAAATTTATAATACTTACCTATTATCGTATAATGTGTCATGACATGACGAACTAAAATAGAATACACTTTTTAGGCTTCCCAACGACACAACCGACGCGACGGTAAGAAGATTTAACTGCACTTCAAAGTTTTCTAACTTAATGCGAGGGACATTGTAACTGATTTCAGTTTATAACTATTCGGACTATTGTTGGAAGCGAGCGTGATAATGTTTTTGTAATTATTTTTACAAATAAGTTTTCTTTCGTGTTAGAATGTTACATGTCAATGTCTAAAAGAATAAAAAACTTAGTCAATTTATTGCAAAAATGCTTTAGTTTTTCTGCAAAATAAATAGTAATTTTTATTTTCAAATATTTTGGACAAAAATCATCAAGTAAATATGGATACGTTCATGGATTATTATTTTGAAGAAGTGTTCTGTAACATGGACCGCGATAGTTTAAACGAAAGATTCAGAAGGCGAGAACTCGTCGAGTATTTTAATTCAGTTATATCAGGATGTGCAAAAGGTTTCCTTACCCATAATTATTTGTTTCTAATTTGGTAGTGCTGTTTAAAATAATCAAATATTTACCTTGTAATAGAATGAACATTTATATTTTTTCATCATTTGCATCAGGCGGACTGTTAACTCATTCGTTACTTAAACCTTATAAAAAAACTTGATTGAAAATTGAAAAGTCTTGACTGTGACAGTCGCGAATAATATGTAACGTGTAAATGTATGCATTCATATTGTTAAAGTGCAATTTATAATATAAAGACATCATATTTATTTCAGGACAAAACAAATCAGACAATGTTACTTGCAAGAACTTCGTTACGTCCGCCCTTCGATATCATAATAATTGTAAATCAAATAACGGCGACGTATGTTTAATGGGAAAGTATCATAACTTGCTATATATAGCAATGAAATTGGCATTCGATTGGAGTTTACAAGATAATGGAGTGGTAGCAGCCTTACTAGATGAACTTTACGCTTGTGAAGGCACATTCGAAAGGATTTTTCTAGGTGAGATTGTACCTTTTCTCTTGATGCCGTCCTGGTCGTCTACGGTCACGATAATAATTTCCAAATATGTAATGCAGAAACTGCCGAAGCTTAGGAGCTCAGCGCTGGTTGTAAACTGCATAGTACGCGAGATACTCAGGTTTATTTCCCGTCAGCACCAATGAAATGTTTAATAGCAATTTAAGGTGCCGATTTACCTCGTATTCTGAGTCGAAGGAAAACATAGATACCAAACCTGCATGCCTAAATTGCAAATGCAAAATAAGTTCAGGTTTGGGCACGTGTGCCACTTCTAATGCGATATGATCGCAGGTAGGTCATTACCTACTACAGCTTTTTAATGCAGTATCGAACATACTGGATTCATGTTAGAACCCTCTACAGTAGGCAAGTTACGAGTACTTCAGTTCTAAGTGAGCCCACGATTCGAGCTTTCGTGTACAATTTCTAGATAAAGATAGTGCATCTATAACCAGTTGCTAAAGTGAATTGATGAACAGTCTTTAAGGATCCAACAGATGAGCACAGGCCTTCCTTAATGATATTTAAAAAACTTTTACTGCACTTACTAGGCTACGGAAATTAAAAGTAATGGAAGATTCACATGTTCTTGAAATATGATTTTAGTCATTTACATATCCTTCTCTTGTTCTTATTATAAATCACAATGTGAAATAGCTGTTGATAATTACTATAATACTGGCACACATTTTGCTTCGCCGTTCTTAATACGTACAGCAAAGAAGTGGAATTATTTGTGAGATTATATACATATTCCGATTATAATGTGGGTGTAACTGCCCTGTACCATCTTAACATTGGCATACGACGGCGATCTTGGCTTATTTTATTAATTACCTGGCTTAACCGGCTTCGCCTGAGTCGTTATTTGGGTTTAAGATAATAAAAGTGCAGTTATTTTATCAGTTTTCCTTTTTTCGAAAACTTCTCCAACTTTTTAAGATACAAGTGTTGATTAAACATTTTATACAACTAACTTCAATGTAACCAAACGGTGAAATTAAAAATTTTGTACAATCGACTTTAATACGACCGAAGCAAAGTATTCGAAGTCAATTAAATATGCATTATTAAAGATAACTCAAAAACTACTGATCAGATCTTGATTAACATGGGACTTACTTACTTTAATATGGGAATTTATATCAAACCACACGAGAAGCACCAGCTTTCAGTTAATAAAGAATCATCAAAATCGGTTTACCCAGAGAAAAGTTATGAGGTAACAAAATGAGTTAACACATAAAAAAGAACATACAGTCGAATTGAATACCTTTTTGTATTCGGTAATATATTGAGAACATCATCATCTTCGAAATCAATTAAATACTGCATTATTAAAGACAGCTCAAAAACCACTGTTCAGATCTTAATCAAGTTTTACAAAGCTTACAAATAAAAAAAAGAATCATCAAAAAAGATTCACCTAGAAAAAAGTTCTGAGGTAACACACATAAACAAAACATACAGTCGAAATAGTACCTCCTCCTTTTTGAAATCGGTTAAAAGTGTAGCTTAGATCACTCCTCGCATTACATTCTATATATTTGTGCGGTTTCATTACTATCGGTTCAGGGATTCCGAAGATTATTCAAAGCGGAGAAAATTTTAAAATTATATAATATCCATGTCATAATTGCATGTAACTCCCTCAACTGTATAAAGCAGTTATTCAGTTATTACCGAAAGAAACTTTAATTTCTTTATAGTATGTAGGTATAGATTACATGTAAAATCAATAATTGTCTTGAGGTGGCGGCTTAAGAGAATATTTTACCGTATATTGTCCCAAAAGTATCGAAAGATACGATAATAAGAAATGCTACAAATATGTCATTGCTTCCAAACTTATCATCTAATCTATGCTAAACGTAAAATTCGCAGATCAGTGACGGAGGGAGTGAGACATCAGGTACTGAGGTTATCCAGCCTACCGAGCGTGACGATTAACACAAAATCCTCTTCCTCCCCCTCTCCTACAGCGAGATAGGCCTATGTCCAGATGTGAACTAACAAGCTGATGAAGAATAAGGAAATTGATTGTTAATAAATATTATTTCAGGTGCAATATTTGGAACATCAGCCCCGTATTTCTTAGCAGGGTGGAAATCGGACTTCATGGACAGAGAAGAGAATGTTCACGCCCTGGTTTTTTTTCTTGATCATGCAACCAATGCTAATTTAGAGTTCAAAGAAGGTGAAAAAACATATCGTTTTATAGATGTTCCTTTAGAGAGCTGCGGTAAAGCATCGCCAGTTAGAGTTGTAATACAAATGGGGGCTGCTGAAATTTTAATGATATTACTCAGATTTGGAGCTCGAATAACATCTGATCACGTTTCTACGAATCCCATAGAATCCATTCTGGACAGGTTAAAAGAATATAATCGGAAATATCCTTATGAATTAGTTACTTGTTTGAAATTATCTTTAAGAGCTGTACCGATACTGAATTTGACGGTAGATAAAACCGCATTTAAGCATTTGGAGTTGCCAGATGATTATAATTATCAAAGGAAAATTGCCCTGGAAAAATACGGTGAAATACTTGAGGATCATTTGATACCCAGCTCACGTTGTGGCTTACAACCTGTAGAATTAAAGCATCTATGCAGATGTTTGATACGAAAGATGCTGTGGGAAAATTTTGAATTGCCTTTTGGTATACAAAAATTACCAATACCATTATCGTTACAAAAATATTTGGACTTACTCGATGATTAAAGTGTTTCTTTTAAATTTGTATTTTCTTTTACCTGTAGGTATCCTCGCTGACATTAATAGTTCCTGGTACACCCGTAATTTCGCATCGGCTAGTCAAATTCACTGTGTTACCGAAAAGACAATAGCGTCGCATGCGGTGGCCAATAATACCAGTAACCACTTCTCCTGAAAAAATGCCAATGGTTATACCCTGTTGGATTTAAAAAGACTAAATATTTATTTGCATTTTTTATAATAACAGTGGTTTAGAAAAGGTTATATAAAACCTTATCTAAAACTACTAAAACACTACTTACAACGGGTTCGTTGTCAACGGTAACCGTCTTCTAATCCATCATCGCACTAGTAAAGAAATGTGTTTAGCATGTGCCACTTGGTATTCAGGAAGTCCTGATACTGCCATGTATTTGTCACCGACTGTTTCCACCTAAAATTTTATATATTTAATTTCTACGGAATCACCCATCTATAACTAAAGTCAAATATATTTTAAAAAAACCTTAAATACCTGTGAAATTAACATTTTTTAACTTATTATATAAATCAGTGGTTGATCCCATCATATTATAAGTGGTGTTGAATCCCTAGTTAGTAATAGTAGTAGTCATATTGTCTTATAACAAAAGCCTGTACAAAAGACAGACAACGGAAAATTATCCCACTCTTTTGCTAATCTCGATATTTCATGCATTTGAACCATGCGTACCATGGTTCTAATGCGTGGAGTATCGACAACAAAGGGATCAGAACCCGCCAACCGTCTGGCTGTCCGATGGTGCAAAGGAGAAAGAGGAATTAAAGCATATAATTCCCGCGCACACTTTCTTAAATGTATCCTATAGAATACTGAGAGGCTAGCTTATTTGCACCTGTACTTGAGGTTAGCAAGATTGGTTGTTTGCGCTCGAAAGGCGGTAAATTTCACTATAATTATGAACTGTGTATAATAATGTTGTTAAAACAAAAAAAAAAACGTCAAAACCGCAGTTACGAAAGCTGTTAGGTGATGCACATTATATGGGATATGATGATGCTCCGGCGTGAAGTACCGCCGCACCCTTGCAAGGACACATAGTTTCCTTGCGGCTGCTTTGGCCCTGCCCATAGTTGAGCTTCAAATAAATCTGAACCCCTAACAAATGAAGGCGGTCAGTGTACTCCAAAGACACATTCTGTAAAGTAGAGGCAAGGGTAAGCGGACTCCTTATAGCGGTGAAAAGATTTTGGAGATTCTGGAGGCACTGAATCTCACAAGATTAATATCGCCCCATTCGGAGACTGGGTGACTGGTGAGAGATTCGCGCACTCAACCATAGCTTCTCTTTCCGACTGGATTTGATCACAACTGGCTCGAGCATTTTGCTGGTACCTCTCCACAATTGTACTGTCGTCTGCATACCCATAGATATCGGGAATAAACATCATTAATATGCATCACGAAGAGAGTGGCGGAGAGAACCGACCCCTGAGGAACTTCGGTGTTTGTCGCGATAGAATTGGACGAGCAGCCATTGACGACGACTCGGAGAGATATTTAGATCTCTACTTAGGAAGTCCTTCACGCAGTCAAACAGGTCAGGAGATAAGCCGTACGTTGGAAAATTGACGAAAATAATAGCGTGCCAAACTCTGTCAAAGGCCTTCGAGACATTAAGGGAAATAGCAAGTGCTTCGCCCCTGTTCTCGAGGCCTTCGCCCCATATGTGAGTGGTATTAGCTAGAGGGTCCCTAATTCAGTATCGGTACAGCTATTAAAGATAATTTCAAACAAGTAACTAATTTATAAGGATATTTCCGATTATATTCTTTTAACCTGTCCAGAATAGGGATTCGTAGAAACGTGATCAGATGTTATTCGAGCTCCAAATCTGAGTAATATCATTAAAATTTCAGCAGCCCCCATTTGTATTACAACTCTAACTGGCGATGCTTTACCGCAGCTCTCTAAAGGAACATCTATAAAACGATATGTTTTTTCACCTTCTTTGAACTCTAAATTAGCATTGGTTGCATGATCAAGAAAAAAACCAGGGCGTGAACATTCTCTTCTCTGTCCATGAAGTCCGATTTCCACCCTGCTAAGAAATACGGGGCTGATGTTCCAAATATTGCACCTGAAATAATAATTATTAACAATCAATTTCCTTATTCTTCATCAGCTTGTTAGTTCACATATGGACATAGGCCTATCTCGCTGTAGGAGAGGGGGAGGGAGGGGATTTTGTGTTAATCGTCACGCTCGGTAGGCTGGATAACCACAGTACCTGATGTCTCACTCCCTCCGTCACTGATCTACGAATTTTACGTTTAGCATATATGAGATGATAAGTCTATGGAAGCAATGACATATTTCTAGCATTTCTTATTATCGTATATTTCGATACTTTTGGGACGATATGCGGTAAAATATTCTCTTAAGCCGCCACTTCAAGACAATTATTGATTTTACATGTATATATTTCGGTGAAACCCGTACTCTCAGTCACTGAGAAAATCATTCTGTTTTAGGTATACCATGAGTTGGGAGTTCAATATACGCTTCAAAAGCTTGCAGAGTGTGGAGGTATTGCATGATTTCTCTCCAGTCGGTTCGATTACCGTCCCATCGGTATGCAGTTGGCATTCCCTATTGGATGTAGCGAAAGCTCGTTTGTCACTCCTATGTTGTGAAATAATATTACTCATCTTATTTACACAGACACTTACTTTGTAAACATTGGGGTTCTTCTTCGCGTCGGTCAGTACGTCAAACGCTGTATACAAGTCGTTAAGTATGCGAACAATCTTCATGGCCCCTTTATGATCAGTATTTCTGGCGTAGTAGTTTGCAAACCCAACAATTCCGCTGAACAGAAGTGTCACAAGATCATAACGACGTGCAGGTACCGGACGGCAATGGCGAAGCTCAGTAGCGACGCTTATTGGTAACACAGAGTATAAAAGCCTGAAATAAGATTAAAGTTCAGCATTGGACGTATTATGGGCTCTATTGATGATAATAACAATGTCATAAAAACATAACTTGTAAAAAATCGCATGAAAACATAATGTATCTCACAAGTAATACATATTACATTAAGTTATATTGTTTCGTGCGATTGCCAAGTCAATCTATTTATTTAAAATATAAAAGATTTTTAACATGTTTATGGTCATTATGAGATATTGTTATAATAAGTTAGCTAATTACGTATTAACTTAAAACAGAAGGACCCTTAAGTAGTGACTGAATAAATTAACCCACTTTGTATTACATGGATCTCACAACTTTTTACGTTAGAAGAACTAAGCTGCGAGACTTGGGTTTTTTACAAGTTATGTTTTTGATGGCATCTCATTTCTTTTTGTAGATAATCTTACTTTTTTTTCCTTTCCGGTACCATCTACTTCTTGAATACTAACAACGTACCTATCTACACCTGTTATACATACATATATATATATATATATATATATATATATATATATATATATATATATATATCATTCACTGCAAATGTAACTTTGTAATCCTATATAATCGATTACAATGCAGTTGGTGTATCTAGAAAACTGGACCGAAATTGAAAAATATTTTAGTCTTTCCTTAATTCATACACTAAACACTAACTTTATTTTAAATTTGAAGCTTCTATGTTTGCTAGAAGTGCCTTAGAGTTTTGATGATCGGTCAGTCAGTGAGTGACAAAATTAAGAAACTTTGGCTAGTTTTAATTCTTAAACTACTGGTTCAAATTGAATGAAATTTTAAATATATCATGTTTATATAATGTCTGCTTGGTGACAAAATTCAGGCTTCTAGTTTTATTCAGAACGAAGTAATAGGGGGGCCGAAAATGGCATGAACTACTTCGAGAAAAGTACGGTACGGCCGTGCCACTTTTTTGCTTGTCTTGGCGGGGGCACTGCTGTGCCCCCAGATAAGATTTTTCTGCACACTGCAGTTTGCTATCCTACGAGCGATAATGATAAGTATATATAGTCCAGGATCCATCGCCTATTTTTGCACGTGATTACTATCAAGCTAATTTTCCGTGAGTAGCTTTATTTTGATGAGACTCCCAATAATTTCCTGTACGAAACTCTCGATTGTGGTAGCTAACAGAAGTAGCAAGGATAAAATATGTTGATTTGATGATTCTCAAATATTTGTTACTAACTGAATTTTTTTTTGTTAATTTTCAAGATAATTCTTATGTGTTATATCTAAATTATTCGAAAAAATATTTGTCCTACAAAATCTGTGGTTTGATCAAAGAGTCCCCTCTATCCAATATGTATCGATAACGAGGACATCATAAATGATTACTAACCAGCTGATTTTTTTTTTACTTAGTTAATATTTATATAATTTAACAGACATATTGTCCTACAAATTGCGTGGTACGTTATCCCGGTCCTACGCTCAAAAGCAGTAGTACAGATTCTTGATGTAAAAATTACTATCAAGCTGAATCTTCGTGAATAGCTTCCTTTCGATGAGTCGCCCAACAATTTCCTATGCTAAAATTCTCTTGTAGGACGATGTTTCATTTGGGCAGAGAACACACTAACCTATCATGTAATATTTTTGTTCTACGGTTAGTAATAAAAAAAATGGTCTTGTGGTATTAACAACTTCTGAGCGTAGGACCGGGATAACGTACCACGCAATTTGTAGGACAATATGTCTGTTAAATTATATAAATATTAACTAAGTAAAAAAAATCAGCTGGTTAGTAATCATTTATGATGACCTCGTTATCGATACATATTGGATATGGAACTCTTTGGTCAAACCACAGATTTTGTAGGACAAATATTTTTTCGAATAATTTAGATAATTATCTTGAGATTTAACAAAAAAAAAATTCAGTTAGTAATAAATATTTGAGAATCATCAAATCAACATATTTTATCCTTGCTAATTCTGTTAGCTATCACAATCGAGAGTTTCGTACAGGGGGCGTCTCATCAAAATAAAGCTACTCACAAAATTACTGAAGAACACGTGAAAAATGGGCGATGATCCTGACTAATAGATTAATACGTGTCTGTTTTCTGTTTCTCGGAGTCGAGTTCACGGAATGTTTGCTGAAGCTTCTCTGTTAATACTTCTAAATTTTGGGTAAGCTTGTAGTCCGCATCGAATTGTTCAGACATCAATACGAGGTCCCGAGTGGCATCGTGTAATGGAATATCAGAGATGCAGAGACCGCGACTGTGTATTGCAGAAAGATGATACAGAAATTGCTGGAGTATTTATATATTTATTTAATGCTTAATTTTTTTCACATTAAATAAAAGGCTAATAAAGGGCGGACTAAATGCCCTTTTGGCATTTTCTCTCAGTCAACTAGTGGTAAAATATAAATAATTATAATTATGTGTTTGCTGTCTAAAGTTATTGATCCCACTATAGCACCTTAAAAAATATTTTAAAAACTAAAGAAGAATATGATGTATCATTTTACAGTGTCAAATCATCTAGATTGGTCACACTAGGATAGCATTGAAATACTATGACGTCAGATTATGGAATGTACAGCATTTGTCCCTGAAAATAATTAATTGATATTTTTAAGGACTATGAATTTAATATAAGCTAATCTTTACGAACTCAAAAAAGAAACATATTACATGTAACTCATACGCCATTTTTTTTTTGTAAATACTAAAACGGGCCGGCCATATAGCTCGAAGAACCTATAATCGATGAGGAAGAAAGGTTCTCGAGTGGCAGCCTCGTACTGGTAGGCGTAGTGTAGGGTGACCCCCCACTAGATGGAGTGACGACCTGGTAAGACATGCAGGAAGTCGATGGATGCAGGTGGCTCAGGACCGTGCTTTGTGGAATTACTTGGGGGAGGCCTATGTTCAGCAGTGGACTTGTGAAGGGCTGTAATGATGATGATGATGATATATATATACATCATTTAAATGTATGGTTTAGTATAAAATGAGACGAATTTCGGGTTAAAGTTTGGTACATGCTATGTTTTACCAATGACTACATAGTAAATGTTGGTTTTGGAAATAAATAATTATATATGATATAATAATTTATCAAACATCGAATCACATTACTGATTAGATGACAAGGTGTTTTTAAATATTAAGATGGCTTTTTGAAGTAGAATATAAAATAAATAAATATTTGTTTTCTACTCACAAACATAATAACAACGTTAGCTAAGCTTACTATTCATTAATTTTCTTATATAAATACGAATTAAAGATCAAGAAAAATATTAAATTTCAATAAAGGTCTTAAAGTTAATTCTATTCCATTATACTGTCCAACGAAGTTAAAAAAATCCGAAGAGAAGCAATTTCTTCATGTGGATCCGTTGCATTAATTTCCTCGGGTTTAGTTTTTAACACGTAAACCGTGTTGATATGTGCAAGGACATTTAGGAATGTCATCTCTAAATGAGGACGCACCTAAAATATAAGTTGTTTATATATTAGGTCGGGGAAAAGTTTTTTCGTATTTTATATATAAATTTAAGACATTTCTTTTGCCATTTTGTTTGCTAACTTGTTGCCATCTCGTAGGCAGTGGCACCGGGGGGCACGGTAGTGACCCCGCAAAGTCGAGCAAAAAAGCGGCACGGCCGTACCATACTTTTCTATTCAGGCCATTTTCGACCCCTATAACTTTGTTGTGGATTGAACTAGAAATCCAACCAAGCAGGCATTGTATAGACACGGTATATTTCAAATATCATTCAATTTGAACCAGTAGTTTAGGAATTATAACAAGTCAAAATTTCTTAATTTTGTCACTCACTGACTGACCAATCATCAAAACTCTAAGGTACTTCTAGCAGACATAGAAGCTTCAAACTTAGAACACAATTATTTTTTAATGTATAAATCAAGGAAAAACTAAAATATGTTTCAATTTGTATCCAGTTTTCTAGATACACTAACTGCATGAATAACTTTGTAATCCCATATAAATATATAGGATTACAAAGTTACATTTGCAGTGAAGGAATTAGTGTACCTATATATTATGTATAATGTAATGGAATAAAAGGAGTGGATAGGTACTTTGTTGGTAATAAAGAAGGTAACCGGAAGGAAGAAAGTAGGACAATCTGCAAAAAGAAATGAGATGCCGTCAAAAAATAACTTGTAAAAAAAAAACCAAGTCTCGCAACTCAGTTCCTCTATCACAAAAAGTTGTGAGATCCATGTAATACCAAGTCGGTTAATTTATTCAGTCCCTACTTAAAGGGTGGTCTGGCGTTATCGTGATGAAAGATCATTCCTTTTCTGTTGATCAATTCAGACCGTTTTATCTCAATTTCTTGCTTGAGTCTCCTTAGTTGTTGGCAATAGAGATCCGAATCGATGGTTTTGTCCGGCGGTAAAAGCTCGTAAGAAACGATATTTCCTTCAAAAAGAAACGTTCAATTCCACCATACACACAACATCACCTTATTGTGTATTAACAAGCGCTTTCGCGCGGGTTTCGCTACAGTCTGTGCATCTTGACTACCCTTTAACGATAATATTTTTCGCACGTTCTTGTCGTAGATGTTTCACTTTTTATCACCAGTGATCAATGTTTTCAAAAATGGTTGGACTCACTCATTTTGGCGGACAGAAAAACAATTGAAAAATAGCGGGAAAGTATTTTTTACTTTTTATTTTTCTTAACGTCCGTCGTATATGTATTGATAATAAAATCAGCCAGATACCAACAATACAACCAAAGAGATTTTTCTTCAATTTTATACAAACAAAATACGAAAAAACTTTTTCCCCGACATAGATAAATATAAAATTAAAGTGTACAACCAGTGCGTGTTGCCAGTGATGACTTATGGATCTGAGACGTGGTCCTTCACTGTTGGCCGTATGAGGACGCTCAAGGTCACTCAGCGAGCTATGGAGAGGGCTATGCTCAGAGTTTCTCTGCGTGATAGACTCAGAAATGAGGATATCCGCAGTAAAACCAGACAAATCCAACGGATTAGTAAGCTGAAGTGGCAATGGGCCGGCCATATAGCTCGAAGAACCTATAACCGATGAGGAAGAAAGGTTTTCGAGTGGCAGCCTCGTACTGGTAGGCGTAGTATAGGGTGACCCCCATTAGATGGAGTGACGACCTGGTAAGACATGCAGGAAGTCGATGGATGCAGGTGGCTCAGGACCGTGCTTTCTGGAATTACTTGGGGGAGGCCTATGTTCGGCAGTGGACTTGTGAAGGGCTGTAATGATGATGATGATATATATATATATATATATATATATATATATATATATATATACCATCATTTAAATGTATGGTTTAGTATAAAATGAGACGAATTTCGGGTTAAAGTTTGGTACATGCTATGTTTTACTAATGACTACATAGTAAACGTTGGTTTTGGAAATAAATAATTATATATGATATAATAATTTATCAAACATCGAATCACATTACTGATTAGATGACAAGATGATTTTAAATATTAAGATGACTTTTTGAAGTAGAATATAAAATAAATAAATATTTGTTTTCTACTCACAAACATAATAACAACGTTAGCTAAGCTTACTATTCATTAATTTTCTTATTAGACAATTTTCATTAAAAATTCAGTATTTTTTAATGTTGACTCTATAGTTTCAAGAACAGCTCTATATTTACAAGACATAATCATCAGTTGCAACATTAGAAACATCGGTATTTTCTAACCCTTCACCTTCTCCGTAAAAATTTCTTGTATTTTATTCTTGACAGCGTTACTAAACAATGCCTTTTGTGACTCTTTCTTAACATTAACATCTTCTTTGTCATGTTCAGTTACATTTTCGTTGGTAATATATTGTTCAGTATTTATCTGTGAATACAACAAAATCTCCAAATGTTCAGATCTTTATACCTCTAATCATATCTATAACGACCGCTAAAGTTGCGATGCCCATTTTCATTGGAAACCCAAACATTGCTCTGTACGAGTTTCTTTTGACTCTCTCATGATATGCTCTATTTTCCATGGTCTGGATAAATTTTAACCCTCGGACTACTTTAGTCTTTAATTCTTCTATACACTACGCATTTAGCCCTACTGAAATAAAAGTTATTGATTTTCTTACTTCTCACAAGTTTGTCCAGTATTCCATAAAATCGTTGTCACACTCTTTTTGTCTCATAAATACTTCTAGATAGAAAAAACGTAGGAAATAAGCGACCTACTGTGCCGAGTGGAGAGAGACACTGCACACTGTCCGCGAGCACGGTAATGCTCGAAACAAGACATGACTATTTTAGAACAATTTTCGTGCTTTTGAGGTAAAACCTAAGATTTACTAAGTTAATGATAGTAAAAGTCCGAAATTAACGATTACTACAGTAACAGTTCGGACTTTTACCGTTATGACTTAGTGAATAGGTTATCCTAGGGTTTGATTGAAAATCTTAAGATTCACCAGATATTATTAATAAAAGAAATCAGAAAATCACTGTTGGGTGTGGTGAATAATGGTACAGACCCTTGTGGACTACTGTGGATTAATAAAGAAACCGAAGAAAATTGATTTATCATCAGATAAAATACTACATACATACATACATAACAAATAACAACGTTACCCAGAGGGATGGGCGGAAACTACGGGCTTCCATTTGACATGATTTTGATATACCTCTCTTGCTTCATTTACTTCCATATGTCTCTTAATTTTGCCTAACTTCAATAAATCGCCAATTGTCTATAAATTTCGTCTGGAGCATCCCTTATCGACTCTATCTCTCTCTAACTGATAAAATACTCTATTTTCTAAAACTAAAGCAGCAACATAAATAGGTGTCTACGTGATGGTAAGTGGCTACTGCAACTAATAGACACCTGCAAGGCTACAGATTCGATATCACTTCTGAAGGTTCCGACGGACTCATAGGTAGAAAAGGAATCTTAACATTCTATTTAAATTATCGTGTTTATTACTTATAAAACTATCAAGTTTTGATTTTATGAAAATGTAATAACTGTTTATAACTACTTCCACTTTTATCATTATAGCTTACCGTATCCAAGACTTCTGTAATCTTACAGCCAGGTCTAGTAACCCTGGGTAGGAGACGAGACACGGTGCGCCCTGCCTGAATAATGTTAAGTTCCCGGTCGAACACTAGATGGAAAGGAAAGACGCGACAGAAAGTAGCTGGACTCACTTTTGGTTCTGAAAGAAAAAGAAAAATTTTAAGAGAAGCGTTTAATACAAATCTCATATCTCTACCTTTTGTTCAACCACAACTTTTTCTGCCATCAGCTCGGGCGCCATTTTGGAATGAAGTGAAATATTTGACAGATTTAACAAGAGAAAAGTTAATTTGTTAAAGATTAATATTTGTTTCTAAAATATTACCTATAATTTATATTAATAATTATAATTATACATGGATAAACCAACAATTTTAGGCCATTTGGAAAATTTGGGTAAAATGTACCTATCCGAAACGCCTTTTCTGATTTCTCCGCCAATTTGATATTTGTAATAATGCAGTGCTCATTGAACTATTTGGGATATGGCACATACATTCTTATTTTATGACTTTATAACATTAAAGTAAGTTAATCGGAGCGATGCATAATAAAGGAAAAATAATCGTGAAAGGAAATAATGAGTTAAAATATAATAAATTTGGAATAGTCTATGAAGTTTTACCAAGTGACAAGGTCTCAATTTCAGCTATTTCCGGTACAGGAACGCGGCTAGGGGTATAAGTTTCCGTGATAAGGAATTGAACGTGGTCGCATTCCTCCTTCGTTTTGAGAATTTCCACTTTCACCTCAGTGTTGTGCAGCTTGCTGGCTACAGTCTGTAAGTTAAAGCAATGTTTGACCAGTCAAATGTAGTAAACGCAGATCGCTAGTCTGTTCACTGGCCGTCATGACCGAAGTTCTGTATGGAGAACATTATTCGTATATTAAATCTGGTGATTATAAGAAATAATAAGTACTCATCGTTCATAACAATCATTGTGTGGGTAGAGCTATTCGAGACGAGAACGATAATTTGTATAATGGTAATAGTTGTTAAATATAGCGTTACAGCCCTTATTAGTTTATTGCTAAACATAGGCCTCCCCATAGACTGCCTCATAGGGCGAATATTTGCCACAATTGCCACAATTGCCACGCTTGCCAGGCGGGTGTAGGTTGCGGTTGCAGTATATTTTTTTTAGGTTGTTATTAGAAAGACTTTGCTACCCATTATACGGTTTGTTTCGCTCTGTCGCTTTTTACGACACCCGCGGGACAATATATGTGGGTATATATGGGGGTAGTGGTTATTCTACTCCGCCACTACAGTTTAAACTATACCTATATATCGAAATAAATTTATAGTTAATAATTAATGCTCGACGGCGTGAGTTGGTATTTTCAAAAACAGATAGCAATCTGTTTCACATAGCTCGCTGCGTATCGCCGTCGTGTGATAGAGAGAGTTATAAACAGAATACTATATATTATAATACATACATAATAGAACGGGGGAGTGGACGGAGCCCGTTAGCCACTAAAATGTCACTAGCACGTCAATTCACACGTATAAATGTCAACACGAGATATATTTTGACGTTACAATCGTATCCAAATTTCCCATGCAAATTATTTAGAAAATACCAAATTACACGCTATATACAAAGAAATATGTATTAAAATCTGTCTGTCAACACAGCGAATCGGGTTTGTAATAGTGATAATACGACGTTATTGCTTGTATGTGTGCTCCCGGCGATCCCGGCGCCTATCCTCGAACAAAATAAGGTTGACAGCCATTCTATTGTGTATTATAGTATTCTAAGGTTAGAAATGTTTGAAATAATTGTCTATATTTCCTTTTTAAAATACTGTTTCGAGCGATGACGTTTTCACCCCCCCCCCCCTAAACATTTACGAAATGAGATAATATTGGTCTCATTAGATTTAGTGTTATAATTTAGATCTGTACGTTTTTCTTTTTTAGAATTTCAGTTTAGTTTAATTAAAAAAAACGATCCAGGAAGTTTTTACGTCAAAAATATGGATATTTGGATGCTAATAACTTACATCGTACGCAAAATGTCCTTAAAATAAAAAAGTTCAGACCTAGTTTTTCATTATATCTACAACGCTTACAAATATTATGAAAGTTAGACGATATTTGATGAATGACGGGAGGGAAAACGTTATTGCTGTTTGTATGAACAGCTTCACAATCTTCTTAAAACTGTCTAACCTTTACAATTCCTATAACAATATGCTCAAGTCCGGGTCTATCAGAGTAAGTAGTGTAGCACTAGCGCACCGTCTTCGGGTCTTTCGGTGCATCGGAATGACGGCGAACGCATTCCAGGGTACAGGGTACCCAGGTGATCGTGTAGACCATCTAGATTCTGCAAACATATAATTATAAAATTAAATAAATTTAGAATATAAACCAACATAAATAATACCTAGTAGAACTAATAACTGTGGTAGTTTAAGGGCATTCACCTTAATAAGTTATAAGGTATGGTATGAATAAGATTTTTATTTAAAATGCTCAAGCTGGTGCTGCCTGAAGTCCAGGATGGTAAAAAAAGTATATCATCAGGATATTTACATCATGAACAGAAACTTTCCTCAAGGAATTTCACAATACACAGTCCTGAGCCACCTGCATCCATAGACTTCTTTCTTGTCTAACCAGGTCGTCACTCCGACTATAGGTAAGAGGTTGCATGTTGTTCGAGAACTTTTCTTTTCCATCGGTTGCCTGTTCTTCGATCTATATGACTAAATTATTGCCACTTCGTTGGGGTGTATCAGTTATACTGCGGATATCCATACGGTTAACCGTGTAATGGCGGTGTAAGAATATCCACCACATCATGTCATCCCGTAGGTGTCGAAAGAGGCGACGGAGTAAAACCAATGTAGGAGAAGGCCAGCAGCAACTTCCTAATAACAAAAAAAACAATAAAAAACAGAACTTGGCAGCCCACCTGCATATAAAGAAAAGTATAAAGAAGATTTTCTCTGGTCTCATATATATTAAAAAATGAAAGACAATGTTCGCACAAGAAGTAAAATAGCACTCTTTTTGCAGTTCTATTACACTTGTGGCGGCGCTGTCGTCGCGTCGCAAGCGAAACATACCGAAGCCTAAAAATCACGCTATCAAAATTCCATATCTTAAACAGTATATATAGAACATCTCTAAACTATCACTTGGAGTGTTGGCCGTTCCCCGGGCAGAACATCTAGCCCGGCGGGAGATCCCCTTTTCCTTCCACGGCCACACTCTTTCAAAAATACAAATACGAATTCAGCACACTGTAGTGGAACGTTTTAGGCCGTTACTTTACTTTCATCATTAAAATAAATAGTTTTGAAGAGATTTAATTTCGAATAGCTTTGTAATTAAAACGGCGTGTATCTATTGGAATAAGAGACTTTTAATTTGAAATTATTTTGATACTGTGTGCGTAAGAAAATCTAACAACATATCGCGATACAGTCCTCCAGCTTGGAGTCAGACAGTTTTATACATTTATTAGTTGACCAAACAGACGTTGTTCTGTCCTTTATGACGACCATTTGTCCTAAAAATATTGACAAAAGTCATTCGTAATATAACGTATGTTTCATTACCATATATTAGGTTAAGAAAAAAATACAAGATCTAGACCTGATAGGCCACACTGTGTTTGAGTTATTTATAATATTTACAAGTCTGCATAATGTCCGGAGAGAATTCAGAATGAAACTCCTCGCCTACTTACCGACGGGAAAAGGTAAAATAACGTCTGCCGGGCTAGATAGTTTTATCTATAAATTCGTTCCAATCTAAAATATATTTAAATATGATAACATTTAAATACGTACTTGTAGAAAATCACGAGGATTAGCTCCGAGAACTTGCAAAATTTTGTCATATCCTGAGTCTTGACAAAACTCAAAGAAAGTTCTTCCGAACGACTCCAAAATTGCATCAGCGGGAATTTCTGCAAATATATTTAACAATTTTCATAGGTTATATTACGATATTTTAAGGTACCTAATTAAGTAATTTTATATTAGAGCTTTATCACGATTCCAGTTTTCTTAAAGATACTCATACTTGTATGTATAAATCTGTGTATTTGTCTTTAGGTCCTAGTTTACCTCCAATCATATTACAATACACAGGTAGTGTTAGGTTCCTGGATTCGAAACCGGGTCGAGCCAACAAAATCAATTATTTTCCGTCAAGAATTTCTCAGTAGCTGCCCGGAGTCAAGAAGTTGGCGGTGTCTCACCCCCGTGCCTCGGAAAGCACGTAAAGCCGTTGGTCCTTCGCCTGATCTCTCTCCGGTCGTGTCGGTTACCGTCCCATCGGATTATGAGACTGAGGGAATAGAGAGTGCACCTGTGCTTGCGCATACACTTGGGCACTATAATCCTGTCATGTGCCGATGGCTAGCCTCCATTGAGGCAGGCCGCCGTGGCCGAAATTCGGTCTGGAGGAAATTATTATTAGTCTTAGGGTTCTTTAATTAAAATTTCATTAGGGGACTTTCATACCTGTATAAACGTGACATCACTAAAGCATAAAAATACACCAATAAGAATGATATACATTCAATCTATAAGCTATAAGTAAATAACTGCTTTAGCATGCGGCATGAATTCCGACTTATTCAGAAGTTCTAACTGTCAAGGCTTAGGGTCTTACCAGCAATTCTCTATATCGCCACTTTCGACACGCACAGCGAAATATCGCTAACATAATGTTTTTAAATTAAAACTTAAGCGTAAGTATACAGTCCACCTGAGGGTAAATCGTTGCTGCAGTCCGTGGACACCTGCAGCCTATTAGAGATGTGCCAATCATGAATGATTCGTTCGTTTAAGCTGGTACTGAAAAGTATTGATGGTTCATTTATCTGATTTTTAATGTTCCGGTACAACCAATCACAAACAATTGACGGAACCTCTTTAACTGTGTGAATTGTGAACGAGTCGAAAATCGACCGAATCCCAAATGATCTGAATGAATTGTTTTTAGTGTACGGTACTGGAGCCCGAAATGATCCATTTGTGAATGATCGATCCGAATGTACGGTACGCGTGACGAAATGTACTAGAATAATTCGGTCACAAGAAATGAATGATAGACAGACATGTGTACAGCCAACTGTTAAGCGAAAAAGTGTACAAATACATTGCCACCTCTGAGGAGTAAAATAGAATATCTCACAGACTGTAATTACACTGACTCTCGACACTATCTAGACCGGAACAAAGCAGTGGCAAGCACTTCTTTTTAAAATATATCTAGAAACTGTTTACTTACGAAGTATTTCAACAGCAGCGGTTATCAAATTATAAGTTATTTCGTCCTCATATATTTGACGAACCAAAAAACTTCCCTCCATAGTCACAGCGGCTTTTTTCCTATAAATACGTAGAATATTCATGAGCTGCAATTTTGTTACGGATTTCGTTAATGAATATTTCGTGTGACTTTCCACTCGTGAATTCAAAGCAATAAAAAACTAAATACAAACTCAATTTGCGCCAACAAATGTTTTCATTGTCTGCTTTTGTATAGGTCTGGATTTGGATTATACGAAAAGTGATGTATTTTAATAATTTTAAGCTATTGCATAGCTTCTATCGCGGGCCTTGAGCGCGGGGACCGAATCCAGAACTTCCGTAACGAAAAACATCTCACGCTCCCCACTCCGACGGGCATGGAGGTGTGGAGTTGAAAGCCGTGCATCGTCTAACGTCGTTTCAGTTCGGCAGACTTCGGCACTCGGCAGACTTCGGCACGGTGTTTGTGTGCGTGCGACTAGACGTATGCGTGTACACTAGCTGCTAACTCAATGATAAAAATTCCTAAATAACCTACATGTATTGTAAGATATTAAAATATTTTAAACAATATTAACTTCTCATTTATTCAACAAGAGAAAAAAAATTTTTTCTTATCGGTCACCACGCTCAAAAAGTGTAACTTGATTTAATATCAAAGACTTAACTGCGTAAATAAAATAAATAAATAATTATAATTGCATAAGTTGATAAAAAATGCTATGCAATAGCTTTACCGCGGCAGTCACCGAGTGCCACACGTATTTTTGATTTTTTACCCAACTGCACAAGAAAGAGGGTAATGTTTATCGAATGAATGTATATATGAATGGGCGGTGCAGTGGTCTTGTAAGAATAGTCACTACCCCATAGCGTCCCGTGTGTGTCGTAAGAGGCGACGGGGGGAACTGAAACAGGAGACAGGAGAAAACAACGTTTTAGCCTATGGAAGGTGTACTGCTGAACACGTACCTCCACCATAGATTGCCTCATATTTGCGATAGTTGCCATGCATGAATTGGCAACCGCATTTTTTTTATTTTTTAGCCATTTTAAGAAAGACGCTGATGCTCCATCTCCTAGTTTGTTTCCCTCCGTCGCATCTTATGATATTCACGGGACGATATGGGGTAATGGATATTCTTACAAAACCACTACACGGTCAATTCATATATACATTCACTCGAATAACTCTTTTTCTATATTCACGGGACGATATGGGGTAATGGATATTCTTACAAAACCACTACACGGTCAATTCATATATATATTCACTCGAACAACTCTTTTTCTATATTCACGGGACGATATGGGGTAAGGGATATTCTTACAAAACCACTACACGGTCAATTCATATATACATTCACTCGAATAACTCTTTTTCTATATTCACGGGACGATATGGGGTAATGAATATTCTTACAAAACCACTACACGGTCAATTCATATATACATTCACTCGAATAACTCTTTTTCTATATTCACGGGACGATATGGGGTAATGGATATTCTTACAAAACCACTACACGGTCAATTCATATATACATTCACTCGAATAACTCTTTTTCTATATTCACGGGACGATATGGGGTAATGGATATTCTTACAAAATCACTACACGGTCAATTCGTATATATTCACACGAATAACTCTTTTTCTATATTCACGGGACGATATGGGGTAATGGATATTCTTACAAAACCACTACACGGTCAATTCATATATACATTCACTCGAATAACTCTTTTTCTATATTCACAGGACGATATGGGGTAATGGATATTCTTACAAAACCACTACACGGTCAATTCATATATATATTCACTCGAACAACTCTTTTTCTATATTCACGGGACGATATGGGGTAAGGGATATTCTTACAAAACCACTACACGGTCAATTCATATATACATTCACTCGAATAACTCTTTTTCTATATTCACGGGACGATATGGGGTAATGAATATTCTTACAAAACCACTACACGGTCAATTCATATATACATTCACTCGAATAACTCTTTTTCTATATTCACGGGACGATATGGGGTAATGGATATTCTTACAAAACCACTACACGGTCAATTCATATATACATTCACTCGAATAACTCTTTTTCTATATTCACGGGACGATATGGGGTAATGGATATTCTTACAAAATCACTACACGGTCAATTCATATATACATTCACTCGAATAACTCTTTTTCTATATTCACGGGACGATATGGGGTAATGGATATTCTTCTCACTACACGGTTCATCACTACACGGTCAATTCATATATACATTCACTCGAATAACTCTTTTTCTATATTCACGGGACGATATGGGGTAATGGTATTCTTACAAAACCACTACACGGTCAATTCATATATACATTCACTCGAATAACTCTTTTTCTATATTCAAGGGACGATATGGGGTAATGGATATTCTTACAAAACCACTACACGGTCAATTCATATATACATTCACTCGAATAACTCTTTTTCTATATTCACGGGACGATATGGGGTAATGGATATTCTTACAAAACCACTACACGGTCAATTCATATATACATTCACTCGAATAACTCTTTTTCTATATTCACGGGACTATATGGGGTAATGGATATTCTTACAAAACCACTACACGGTCAATTCATATACATTCACTCGAATAACTCTTTTTCTATATTCACGGGACTATATGGGGTAATGGATATTCTTACAAAACCACTACACGGTCAATTCATATATACATTCACTCGAATAACTCTTTTTCTATATTCACGGGACGATATGGGGTAATGGATATTCTTACAAAACCACTACACGGTCAATTCATATATACATTCACTCGAATAACTCTTTTTCTATATTCACGGGACGATATGGGGTAATGGATATTCTTACAAAACCACTACACGGTCAATTCATATATACATTCACTCGAATAACTCTTTTTCTATATTCAAGGGACGATATGGGGTAATGGATATTCTTACAAAACCACTACACGGTCAATTCATATATACATTCACTCGAATAACTCTTTTTCTATATTCACGGGACGATATGGGGTAATGGATATTCTTACAAAACCACTACACGGCCAATTCATATATACATTCACTCGAATAACTCTTTTTCTATATTCACGGGACGATATGAGGTAATGGATATTCTTACAAAACCACTACACGGTCAATTCATATATACATTCACTCGAATAACTCTTTTTCTATATTCACGGGACGATATGGGGTAATGGATATTCTTACAAAACCACTACACGGTCAATTCATATATACATTCACTCGAATAACTCTTTTTCTATATTCACGGGACGTTATGGGGTAATGGATATTCTTACAAAACCACTACACGGTCAATTCATATATACATTCACTCGAATAACTCTTTTTCTATATTCACGGGACGATATGGGGTAATGGATATTCTTACAAAACCACTACACGGTCAATTCATATATACATTCACTCGAATAACTCTTTTTCTATATTCACGGGACGATATGGGGTAATGGATATTCTTACAAAACCACTACACGGTCAATTCATATATACATTCACTCGAATAACTCTTTTTCTATATTCACGGGACTATATGGGGTAATGGATATTCTTACAAAACCACTACACGGTCAATTCATATATACATTCACTCGAATAACTCTTTTTCTATATTCACGGGACGATATGGGGTAATGGATATTCTTACAAAACCACTACACGGCCAATTCATATATACATTCACTCGAATAACTCTTTTTCTATATTCACGGGACGATATGGGGTAATGGATATTCTTACAAAACCACTACACGGTCAATTCATATATACATTCACTCGAATAACTCTTTTTCTATATTCACGGGACGATATGGGGTAATGGATATTCTTACAAAACCACTACACGGTCAATTCATATATACATTCATTCGAATAACTCTTTTTCTATATTCACGGGACGATATGGGGTAATGGATATTCTTACAAAACCACTACACGGTCAATTCATATATACATTCACTCGAATAACTCTTTTTCTATATTCACGGGACGTTATGGGGTAATGGATATTCTTACAAAACCACTACACGGTCAATTCATATATACATTCACTCGAATAACTCTTTTTCTATATTCACGGGACGATATGGGGTAATGGATATTCTTACAAAACCACTACACGGTCAATTCATATATACATTCACTCGAATAACTCTTTTTCTATATTCACGGGACGATATGGGGTAATGGATATTCTTACAAAACCACTACACGGTCAATTCATATATACATTCACTCGAATAACTCTTTTTCTATATTCAAGGGACGATATGGGGTAATGGATATTCTTACAAAACCACTACACGGTCAATTCATATATACATTCACTCGAATAACTCTTTTTCTATATTCACGGGACGATATGGGGTAATGGATATTCTTACAAAACCACTACACGGTCAATTCATATATACATTCACTCGAATAACTCTTTTTCTATATTCAAGGGACGATATGGGGTAATGGATATTCTTACAAAACCACTACACGGTCAATTCATATATACATTCACTCGAATAACTCTTTTTCTATATTCACGGGACGATATGGGGTAATGGATATTCTTACAAAACCACTACACGGCCAATTCATATATACATTCACTCGAATAACTCTTTTTCTATATTCACGGGACGATATGGGGTAATGGATATTCTTACAAAACCACTACACGGTCAATTCATATATACATTCACTCGAATAACTCGTTTTCTATATTCACGGGACGATATGGGGTAATGGATATTCTTACAAAACCACTACACGGTCAATTCATATACACATTCACTCGAATAACTCTCTTTCTTATGCAGTTGGGTAAAAAATAATTAAAATGCATCATTTTTCGCAGAACCAATATCCAGATCTATACAAAGGCGGACAATGAAAATATTTTTTGGCGCAAATTGAGTTTGTACAGGGGACGATATGGGATAGGGGATGTTCTTATAGGTACAAGCATTACACGATTAAAATGTACATAAATGATCTACCATTTGACTTACAGCTTTTCTGGTAAATTTTTTGTTTGACTTATCTGCTACTTCTTATTAATTTGTTATAAATACTGTGTACAATTTTTTATTAAGATAACATGTATATTTCATGTAATGTAAACAAAGATATATTTAAACCATTATTTACTTTATTTTTTCCCATGTCTCCTCTCCAAACGATTTTAACACAAGGAGTTCCTAAGCATAGTTGACGAATACGTACTGGAAAAGAAAAGAACAGGGGTTTGACAGAATAAACGATATTTTATTTAACTTTTTTACAGTTGTACTTACTCCACCATGATTGGTTGTTGGATTAACACAAACTCACAGCCTATGTATAGGGCATACCTAAATCTAGGCTGAAATTACAACAGTTTCATTGGTGCTGGCGAGAATTGAACTCGAACCGCTCGTGTAAGTGAATCTAAGGCGAGTGCTTAGCCGCTCAGCTAGCACGGCTTTCATATTATATGTGCTTAACGGTTAATTCAGATATGAGCTAAATAATGCACGAACGAATAAGTGCATTTATAATATTGCAGGCGCTATCTTAAAAGGCAAAAAATCGTAAAACAATCAAGTGGTGAAATTACGGTTTTGTACAACCGACTTCAACATAAATAAAATGAGAACATCATCTTTGTAGTCGAAGTCAATCAAATACGCATTATTGAGACTAAATCAAAAACTACTGATCAGATCTTGATCAAAGTTATGTGGGACCACATGGGAAGCACCAGCTTTTAAATAAAATAAAAGAACCATCGAAATCGGTTCACCTAATAAAAAGTTCTGAGGTAACACACGTAAAAATACAGTCGAATTGAGAACCTTCTCCTTTTTTGAAGTCGGTTAAAAATACAATATTCTTATGGTTAAGGATACGGATTGTGGAACTCAAAATTCGTGGGTTCAAATTTGCTTTTCGACTGTGTCCTAACACAAGCGTTTTAAGCTTAGTTGGAGTGATTAAATAGTGTTAAAAGTACTATAGTAGGTACTTTTTTTAAAGAAAAACAAAAAACCCCACCCCCCCCCTCCTTTTGCCAATCATTAAAAAAACCCCCCACAAAAAAAAAACCACCAAAAATTAATACCCTTTTTATATTTATTTTATCCATTTTAAATCCTTTCTTCCTTTTTTTAAATTTTTTTTTTCTCATTATTTTTTTTTTTTATTTTTTTTTTCCCAAAAAAAAAAAAAAACAAAACATACATATGAATAACATAATGATTTACCCATGAAAAAAAAACTCACCATTTGTATCTCTACGTCTGAAATAATAGATTTAATTAGTAATCTTAAGTACACTTAATTAGTAAGAATTTGCAGAGCAAACTTTCATTCATCATTTTTATTACAAAGACTTTATGAAAATGAAGAACCACTGAGAAAAGCACTTTGCCCACTCGTCCTTAGGGGTCTCTTCGACGGCATTTTGAAATGCAGCCACTGCTTCCTCGGCGTCCACAAAACGTTTTCCTCGAAGATTTTATTTTATTTTTGGAAATAAATAAAAATTGCATGGGGCTAGAGGGCGGGTGACCCAGTAATTCCACGTCTGACGTCGCCAAGTAGTAGTCGATTGTTTGCTTGGCAGTGTGCGACGAGACGTTGTCGTGGTGAAGGAGGATCCTACTGCGAGGTCGTTTCTCCCGAACTTTTTCCAAGACAAGTGGCAAACAACTGATAGTCTACCACTCTGCAGTAACTGTTTTTCGATCCTCTAAAACAATTGTTGCGTAATGACCTGTCCTTCCGAAGAACGAGGCCACCATCTTTTTTCCCACGCTTCGACCTCTCTTCACTTTAGTTGGCAACTCCTCGAAAGGAAACACCCAGACAGCAGACTGTCTCTTAGTTTCACGATCATAACAATAAATCCAGCTTTCGTCACCCGTAAGTATGTCGAATACAGCATTTGAGTCACCTCCGTTAAATCTTTGAACCATTTCACGACACCAATCAACACGACGGAATTTTTGGGCCTCTGTCAAATTATGAGGTATCCACCAGGCACAGAGCTTCCTGACCGCTATTTGTTCATGAAGGATTTTGTGCACTTAACTCATACCGATGCATAAGCTCGTCCGAATCTACTGGTAAGCCACTCTTTTGTCAGTCTCTCAACCGTCGCCCAGTCGCCGCACAACACTGATGTTATCTTCAGTCGTCGCCGTAGAAGGCCGTCCTTCTCGCAAATCATCGTTTAAACTCATTAAACCAGTTGTAAATAGTGGCACGAGATGGGACTTCATCATGAAAGGCCAATCGAAGTCTATCATAACTTTCATGTTGACTTACATGGCATCGAGTCATAAAAAATCATTGAATTTCAACAATTTTCAATTTACCGCCAAATCGTAAACATATTACAAATTTAATAAAATACATACCTTCACAATAATATATCGTTTACAAGTTGCCAGTTCTAAAAACTTTCAGCGTCGCCCTCATATTAATAATAAAAAAACTATATAAAAAGGGTTATTATAATATAAATAAATACATGGTTGATCTTTTACATACTTTAAAAAATGGTCCGCTGAGTTTCTTGTCAGTTCTTCCCACGACAGAGGCTTTTTTTTCCGAACCAGTTGTAAAGTAATATAAAAGAATTTCAATTAGAATTAGGTACGTGTAAACTGTATTGAATAAAAAAATCGATTCTATTGTATTGTAAAATGCCGATGCCTTTTCACTATTGAGAACTAAGATGGAATGCCTCGTTTTCAGTTAAATAGTTCTCCGGGTCTCTACATTTTTCTAGACGAAACCCAACAGCATCAAACTGTTATTTTTAGATGATAAACCGTAAGCACGTGGTCCTTTTCCGGTAGAGCAGACCCATTCACGCTACAACTATAGCAACTTGGTTCTGCCACGTAAAACATTTCATGAAACGCAACTATTTCATAATATGGCCAATCGTTATTAGAAATATCATGAATGAGAAATTGCGTACTCGTATTTACTAATATCAGGGACAGATGAGGTCCCGAAAAGTCGCGCACATTAATATAACATACGATTTAGGCAAAAAGTGACTTTGTTAACGTAAGTGATGGATAATGTAACTTTCTTATGATATGATCATTTATGTATGGTCACACCACGTAATGCCCTTTCAAACCTATGCGTTCAGTTAGCCACATCGTAAAATGATATCTATATCCATCGATCAAGCCATGGCACTTTATGAAATTATAGACAATCGACAGTGTATTATTTTATATTAATGTTCAGCCACTATATTACGTACGTACGTCAATTTGACGATCGGGCCACGACATATATGTATTAAAATTAAAGCCCATAAATGTCTACTGCTGATTACTAACTTAGACCAAATTAACCCTAATTAGTTGGTTTGTTATTCATTTCATTCAAAACAGAAAATATTTGTCAGTATATCTATTAGCCCATACACCTGAGATATAGGTTTATCCTAGTTCGGGTATCTGTTATTGTACAGTATTTTAAATTAAGACATTGGTTGAATTAATTGTAGAGTTACAATACAATACTCTTTATTGCACACAAAATAATACAAAGAACAACAAACTTAAATTGATAAATTTATGTACAATTAGGTGGCCTTCTTGCTAAACAGCGATCTCTTCCAGGCAAACCTTGGTGAAGGAGATCTTTTACATATAAAAATATAGAAGTGTGCATAAATAGTAGATAAAAAATTATACATAACACATAACATATATATACATACATAATCATACACATATAACATATTTATACATATAAATATTATATATATATATACATATTTATACATATAAATATATATATATAAAACAGTACTTTTGTAGAGAAAAAACTAATAGTGTATATATATTGTTGCATGAATAAGTCAACTAGCGCCATCTAGTGTCAGCAACAAGAGCGAGGGGAGCTTGGCAGTAAATGACATCACAAACCTTTCGACCGACAGCGCCACCCGAAGAACTAAGTTTCTAGAAAATCTATACTCGAATTCTCGGTACCTTACGCGTGTTTGCTTGAACATTCCGGATATTTTGCTAATTTAAATAAATAGGTGGCGCAGGATGCGATCGAGGCAGAGTGAACTCGGCGACACAAGCGAAGCTTCGGAGTGGAATTAAGTGAATTAGTGTGTTTAAATTATTAGTGTTTTAACTTTAATTGTGTAAAGTAAATTAAAGTGTTAATTTAGGTAATTTTATCGGCAATTTTTATTGTCACGAACCTCAAGCTCGTAACAATTGGTGTCAGAAGTGGGATAAAATCATGCCGATTTTACCTAAGGAGGAAACGGAGGGTGTCCGAACCCGAAGTCAACGCCAGCAGGAGACGGACCAACGAAGATTTGGTGGTGCAACGCCGCAGACGTCGGAGGGCCAGCCACCGGCTGAAGGCCCGTCGGTAGCTCCTACATCTGCAGCACCTGACTTAGGTGCTCTGATGGTGATGCTGCAGGAGCAGGCTCGCCGACAGGAGGAGCAGGCTCGCCGACAGGAGGAGCAGGCTCGCCGACAGGAGGAACAGGTCCGTCAGTTGAAAGAGCAGCTGCAGAGCGGACAGGAGGGACAGGCCCGCCGATTGGAAGAGCAGCTGCGGGGCGGACAGGAGGAACAGGCCCGCCGACAGGAGGAACAGGCCCGTCGTTTAGAAGAGCAACTCCAACGCGATAAGGAAGAGCAGATGCTCCTCATGAAGGACCTTCACGCTATCTTCGGAAAAGAGATACGGGAGGTGAAGGATAAGGTTGCTCAACATGACAACCGCCTGTCGGAGGCCGAAACCCGAATCGACCAAGTAAACAATCGGGTTGACAACGTAATGGCTGACGTGAAGAAAACGCTGGACGACCTCAAACTTGGGGATGGAACAACAGCTCCCGTAGTAGCTACAACACCTTCGCTACGTGGATTCAAAGTGCCGCCGTTCGACGGGACCTCTTCCTGGTCGTCCTACAAAATCCAGTTCGAGGCCGTCATGGAGGCAAACGGCTGGAATAAAAGCCAGGCCATGACTGCACTCACCTTAGGCCTGCGCGACCAAGCCTTAACTGTGTTGGAAGCTCTCGGTAAGAAAGTGACCTACGAGCAGCTCCTTGAGGCATTGGAGGCGAGATATGGCGACGCTCACCTGGAACACGTCTTTCGTGCGCAACTTAAAGATCGTGTGCAGCGCATCAACGAAAACCTGCAGCAGTGGGCTCTAGAAGTGGAGAAGCTGGTGCGAAAAGCATACCGGTCTGTACCTGCGCTCATTGAAGGGAACCTGGTGCAGACATTCATCGACGGCATCCGCGACCTGGAAGTCAGAGCTGCTGTGAGGCTCGGGCACCACGAGACGCTTAAGGACGCCTTGGCCCAT